AAGCTACTTTTTGGCGAACATGAAATTTACTCCCGAGAAGGCGTCCAACAGGGTGACCCCCTTGCTCCTCTCCTTTTCTGCTTAGTCATCAAACAAGTCACAGAGGTCCTGTCCAGCGAGCTTAACATCTGGTTCTTGGATGATGGTACCCTAGCTGGTTCCCAAGACTCACTCCTGGAGGACATCAGAAAAATTCAGGAGCAAGGTGCAGTTTTAGGCCTCACCCTGAACCCTTCTAAACGTGAAATAATATGTTCCAACCAACCTCTATTCTCTCTACCATCGTAGAGAGAATAGAGGGTCTTCTGCCAAATATCCATAAAACTAAACCTGAAGACAGCACACTCTTAGGAGCTCCCCTGGGGTTGAAAGCCATCGATAAGGTCCTTGATAAGAAAATCGCCGACCTTAAGAGGATGGATGGGAGGATTGAGGATATTGATGCTCATGATGCACTCTACCTCATCACCAGATGTCTGTCCCTCCCCAGGTTAACCTACTTTCTGAGGTGTTCACCATCTTACAGTAGCCAAAAACTAAGTGTGTATGACCGGTTACTGAAATCAATGCTAGAAAAAGCCCTTAACCTCTCTCTTGATGACCTACAGTGGAAACAAGCCTCTCTTCCCGTAAGACTTGGGGGCCTCGGAGTTCGAACAGCAACGCAAATCGCTGTTCCAGCCTTCCTGTCCTCCTTATCAGCATCCGACGACCTTGTGAAGGAAATTCTACCTGCCCACTTACATCAGCTGGCAGGTGTACATGATCCCAATTTTACACGCTGTGCCACAGAGTGGGCCTCTCGTGCAGGCCAATCACCTCAACCACCATCCTCAAAAGCCCACAAGCAATCCAGCTGGGATGGTCCCATTGTAGACCAAGTTGCTGCAGAGTGCCCGGGTCCTGCAACAACACAACACGACATTGCTCGCCTCACAGCAGTAGCAGCCCCACATGCAGGGGATTTCCTATTAGTAACCCCAATGTCGGCAACTGACATGCGTCTCACACCACACGCCCTCCGAATTGCTGTGGCCCTCCGCCTTACTGCCCCAATCCACACCAGATATAGGTGTATATGTGGCGAGGTGGTGGCTGACAGGTACGGCCACCATGGCCTACTCTGCCAAAGCACAGGGGGATGGCACTCGAGGCACAGTGAAGTTAACGACATCATCAAGAGGAGCCTCACCACAGCTGGATGCCCAGCTGAAAGAGAGCCCCGTTATCTAACGCCCCGTAACTCTGATGCTCTTATTGGTCGCCCGGATGGTATCACAGTGAACCCCTGGAAGAATGGCAAGCAGTTGGTATGGGGCTACACGTGCGTATCAACCCTGGCTAACACCTACATTAACCTCAGTGTTGCACAACCAGGTGGCGCTGCCACCCACAGGGAAGCAGCCAAATCCCGTAAGTATAGAGAACTGGATCACCACTACAATTTTGTCCCCATTGCTTCTGAGACACTCGGCGCCTGGGGTAAAAGTGTACCAGTTTTTTAAAGGAACTGGGTTCTAGGCTCATTGAAAAAACAAGGACCCTAGAGCTGCCAGCTTTCTTTTCCAGTGCCTCAGCGTGGCGATACAGAGGGGAAATGCGCACTGCATCCAGGGTTCCTGCCCGCCATCTGAGGAGCTGGAGGAACTCGACAACCTATGATAACCATCTTTGTAACCTATATGTGACTCCTTTTTTGTAACAAAGTTCAAATAAAGCAAATATATATGTGTACATACAAAAGAATGGGGGTGGTAGGAGAAGACAATATTAGTGTTCAGTGAGAAACCACAAGGTCTCCTCTGAATATTTTTTATTTTCTTCTCCGAGGCTATGGGTCCCCACATTGGCACCAGAGGTGGTACAATAAAAAAAAAAAAAAAATATATATATATATATATATATATATATATATATATATATATATATATATATATATATATATATATATATATATATATATATATATATATATATATATATATAATAGATTGGCTAGAAAGGCGGGGACCAAGAGTTAATAGCTCGATTCTACAGACACAAATAGTAAACACACCCACCCACCCAGCCCCCACAAAGCACACATTTAGCTGGTGATCACCTTAACAAGAACTCTGCACACTGCACGTAAAGCTTGAGAGAGGACACCAAGGAGAAGAATACTGGAACAACTTTGAGGTGTTAACTTTGTAACGAGAGGCCAGCTGCAGGTGTTCCAGGGAAGGTGTGTGTCTTGTCTCAAACACAAATTGGAATTACACGACTTTTATGACGAAGATTTTCAGTGTGTTTACTATTTGTCTCTGCTATTTGTGTCTGTAGAATGGGGCTATTTATGCTCCTAGCCCCTTCCTTTTTTAACCAATCTATTTTTCTTCTGTTATATCAAGTACATATATTGCTCTCTAATGCATGCACACACACACATCCCCAGGAAGCAGTCCTTGGCAGCTGGCTAGCTCCCAGATAACCTTTTTACTGGTAGGGGAACATGTGCATCTCCCTACCTATTTGTTTCCGCCTTCGCCGGGAATCGAACTCGGGCCCTTAGGACTACCACGCCCAAGCGCTATCCACTCAGCCGCAAGGCCCCCTAGCGTGTGTATTCGTACGTGTGTGTGTGTGTGTGTGTGCGTGTTTGTGACTGTGTGTGTGTGTGTGTGTGTGTGTGTGTGTGTGTGTGTGTGTGTGTGTGTGTGTGTGTGTGTGTGTGTGTGTGTGTGTGTGTGTGTGTGTGTGTGTGTTCACCTAGTTGACCTAGTTGTGTTTGCGGAGGTTGAGCTTTGCTCTTTCGGCCCGCCTCTCAACTGTCAATCAACTGTTTACTAACTACTATTTATTTTTCCACACCACACACACACACCCCAGGAAGCAGCCCGTGACATCTGACTAACTCCCAGGTAACTATTTACTGCTAGATAACAGGGGCATTCAGGGTGAAAGAAACTTTGCCCATTTGTTTCTGCCTCGTGCGGGAATCGAACCCTCGCCACAGAATTACGAGTCGCTATCCACCAGGCTACGAGACCCCTGTGTGTGTGTGTGTGTGTGTGTGTGTGTGTGTGTGTGTGTGTGTGTGTGTGTGTGTGTGTGTGTGTTTGTGTGTGAGTGTGTGTGTGTATGTGTGTAATGGTTACCTAACTATACTTACAGGATGAGAGCTATGCTCGTGGAGTCAAGTCGTCTGCACACCTATACACCTGAATTAACATATGTTGTGTGTGTACACATATGCTTCACGAACCCTCCCACTGCACACACTGACACCTGGACCATCAACACGTGCTACAAAGACGGTTTGAGTGTACACGAATGTATTAAATGTGCGTTTGATCGACGACATTTAAACCAAAAAAGGACGATATATATATATGACCACCATAGGATATTCGAGTGTACACATGTGTACAGAATAGCAAATTAGTGTACACCTGTTTGTCTTGACGCGGAAGAGTATAAACAAGTGTAACTCAGACCATCCACACACACACATTATATATATATATATATATATATATATATATATATATATATATATATATATATATATATATATATATATATATATATATATATAGGTAGAGTTGTGACGACTTGTCCGCCGACGAGGCCTTAAAGGTCACGTGACCTGGTGTAAGCAAATGGGAGGAGACCTCTCATGTTATGCGTCAGCTAAACTGGCTGTGAATGTCCCGTGGGAAGTCAGTTGCTGGTTGGACATGGTGGAATGAGGAGGTTCTTAGCCCCGGTGCTCTCTAAATTTGGAGTGTTCTCTTATTTGAAGCCATTTAATTTAAAACAAAACCCTAATTTAGAGACGGTTGCGATCTCCTTTTGACGCCGGAGTTATTCTTGAACTCGCGCTAAAACAGACCTGGTCCTCGGTAGAAAGATCATTGTGCATGAGAGGCAAAGAAGTCAATAGCGATCTGTCGTATCATAGGAATTAATACCTGTGACAGTGGTCGGTAGGAGGCACGACCCATGATTTATTTATTTCTAGAATTCAAGAGCACGTCAGCCAGGGTCTGTAGGAGCACCGTAGATGACTGAATGTGTCAGTGGGGTCGTACTGTCTACATACGTGTTGTACTCTCATCAATTCGCACAATATTTTTGGGCAAAAACCAGGTCCGTTACCTCGAACCTTCAATAATTACTCCACTTTGCTACTTCAGGACCTTCAATAACATCTCCATTTTGCTGCCACCAAGCAGGCCGGAATACTGATAGGATTCCTGTGTGAAAACAAATCCAATAGGCCACTGGATTGCTCTTGTTAATGGAGTTTAACCAGCAGTCTAATAGCCTCTTCATGTGATCCCATCCGGGCTCTTTAACACCTGCTGAAACTCAACAAAAGAGGAATTTTTGGCCTCACGTTTTTTGCCCCATTAACAGCTACTCACTCGGAGGCTTCCGCTGGCTCCAAGTCGCCTGCATTATATGATTCCAGGGCTGGACCAGGGCTGGAAACACGCTCCAGGAATCTCAGTTTGAATATACTTTATGGAGTAGCTCATCTTTATTGTATGTTGCATGTCTGAACATCCTGCTTGGAAATTAGATGGTATATTAAGTCGGGGAGAGGGGAATAGGGGGCAGGGGAGAGGGAGGGACAGGGGGAGAAAGGGAGAGCTGAAGAACTGGAGAGTGAAAGTTGTGAATGAATGAATGCTGGGCAGAGAAAAAGGAAAGGTGTAGAGAGAGGGAGAACGAGTGTAAATGAAATGAAGAAAAAATGCTAGAAATTAAATAATTAGTATAGAAAAGTGTGAAGAGAGTGAGAGTGTATAGAGAGAGGAGTGAGAGTGTATAGAGGGATTAAGAGTGTACAGAGTGAAGGATTGAGAGTGTATATAGAGAGGGAGTGAGAGTATAGAGAGAGAGAGAGAGGGGGAGAGTGAGAGTGTACAGAGCGAGAGGGAGAGAGAGAGAGTGGGAAGGAGTGAGAGCGAGTGCAGCAGTCAGGCCAGAGACGCCTCGGCCTCAACACGCGCACAAACTCTCACCTCCTCGGCTGGCCTCCGCTCTCACTGGCCGACACGCCTCTCGAGTCTTCCTCTAATGTCCACAGCGGGATAGTCGCTCTCCAGCCCAGGCCTGGTCGCCCTCGAAGCACTCAAGTAAACCTTGAGGATCGTCTACCAGCTTAGTCCTTCAACAGCTCAAGACTAATCATCTTTTGAAAGCGGTAGTCGTTCTTCAACTTGGAAGAATCACCTTTACAAGTCGTCCACCTGTCTGACTTGTAACTCCATCGCCTGAAGATAGTCGTCCTCCACCTGACCTCGAAGTCACTCCTCTCTCTGCACCACCTCCTCGCTCCCTAACGAGCTCCTCGAGGCCCTATGGCACTTGCCTCGCATTTAAACGAGATGGGTGAGGATTGAAATACAATCGAACTGGATTAGTCGTGTGTGTGTGTGGTGCAGGTAATGGTAGGGAAGCCTGTGATCGGTGCCTGAAGCGAGTTAAGCCGATGAGAAGCCGTGAATGGTTGGTGCGATGGATTACGGGACACCAATCAATCCAAAGCTTTTGTGATGTAAACGCTCCCATGTCACAATATTTCTTAGGACATATGCATTATAATGAAATCTTCTGTGACTAAATTCAGAATTCGATTCGGAGTCCTCGAATCGCCAATCGGTGTTCTGTAAATATTCTTTTTTTTACAGCGTGTGTGAACATATAAGAAAGTAAGTAATGTATCAAAGAAAGCATTGAGACATAAATTAAACAAATAAGTGTGCCCTGAATATATTCAATTATATGCTCACACCTGGAGGCTATAATTTTACCTGTGATACCACCATGTAGACCTCATAACCTTATATCTGAAGGCCACTTGGCCCTTAACATTGCGTGTTCGCTTGAAAAACTGTGTAATTAATTGAAAGTTGTTTCGCACATTTGATGAATATGTGTTATGTATGGGCCTTAAAAATATGTAATCGTACAAAAATTATGTACAAGCGACGTATGTACATTTGATATAAACATGTGCAGGTATTGATAATATGTACGTCTGATATATACACATGTGATTGATCATATGCTTATCTGACATCGCGTAAACTAAGCTAAGTCCACCAGTATTAAGGGGACCACTTTCTCCGGAACAGCATAATTTCACGTGTAAGTCAAACAACACGTTCCTGTAATTAACAAAAACCTCAGTTGAAAATTAGAGTTCAAGATCATATTTTGGCAACTAGATTCACACTAACTACTGATTTAGCCTGAAGTATCACGGCATATAAACACAAAAGGTTCCTATATCACTATACAATAATTCTCAAGAGCCAGAACGGCCAGGAACGTGTATGGACGACGTTCGTTTACAAAAATTAACCAGATTAGTGCAGGAGGGGAGAGTGAGAGAGAGAAAGATGAAAAGATAAAGATAGAAAAATAGAGAGATATACTATAAGTTGTCCCTGTATCTTATCGGTAAATCTCGATTAATCTCGACAGCTACACCCAAAACGGTTGGCTCCTTCACCACCAAAAACAGGAAGTGGAAAGAGAGGAAGAGGAGAAGGAGGCGGAAGAAGATAAACTGCGATAAGGCAGAAGTAACCAGGAAGTCGATACGCACTATGGTTCCCGATAAGATTAGCGATACTCTAAAGCTGACTGGAAAACTAATCTTCCACCGGGGAGGCCTCGGGACGCAGTACCTGCAGGGGGCGCTGAAGGGCAAGGACGGCTGAGGAGTGACGTTCTCGCAGCACCTACAGCAGTGTCCAGGGACACGGCCGGGACACTGGTGATTCAATATATTGATATATGAACACGTGTGAATAGTGATTACAGAAACATATATGTGACATACAGCTTGTGGATTACAGTTAGCGGATTTTTAGTGCCAAGAATTAGCGAGTAAATACAGAAAGAAAAAGGAGACAGAGGAGCCACAATTGTGTAAGGTTGATCTGAAAGGTGAAGTGATCTAGTCTCAGTGAGATGAGCCACACTCGGCTCAGAGGACACAGGTAGCGTGGCTGCTTCAGGAAGGTTGTAACCACTAGAATACGCACAAAAAAAAGGCATATTGGTGACCATAATGGCAGTGTTGGGCGAGGAGTCGCCTCGGCCACTCCAGTGCCGCGCGCCCTAAACTGCCAATCAAAACAAAGGGTGTTCGAGTGACAGGTTAAGACAGGAGAGACAGACAGACGCCGAGATGATGACCACAGATTTTCGAATGAGCAATTTCCTGGCCTTGGCGGAGGACGCGAGGAACGACAGCGAGTACATTTTGTTGCTGTGTTCCCCCAACGAGTCGCTGCCCGTCCGCTACAGGCTGGAGTTCGCGTGCGACTTGTGCAACGCGAGCGACGTGCTGGTGCTGTGGGAGCGCGGGGTGTGCGACTACCCTCCCACCCCGGCCTTCAACGCCTCCATCTACGTCTTCTACATCGCCATCCTGGTCTTCGCCGTGCTGGGGAACTCCGTCGTCGTGTACGTCGTGTGCTCCTCCGCCAAGATGAGGACCGTCACCAACTACTTCATCGCCAACCTGGCCGTCGGGGACCTGTGGATGGCCATATTCTGCGTCCCCTTCTCCTTCCTCAGCACCCTCATACTCAAGTACTGGCCCTTCGGCGGCCACCTCTGCGTCGCCGTCAACTACCTGCAGGCGGTGTCGGTCTTCGTCTCGGCCTACACGCTGGTGGCCATCAGCCTGGACCGCTACCTGGCCATCATCTACCCCCTGCGGCCTCGTATGACCCGATTCCAGGCGAAGGTGATCATCGCCGTGGTGTGGATCCTCTCCCTGGCCACCACCCTCCCCGTCGCCGTCTACTCCAGCCTCCTGACGCCCAATATCAACTTCTACAAGGTCTTCGGGCGGCAGGTGTGCATGGAGGACTGGGGCGAGAGCCAGGCGGAGAACGACTCCCGCATGGCCTACAGCGTCGCCCTCATGCTGCTGCAGTACTTCCTGCCGCTGGCGGTGCTCGTCTTCACCTACTCCAGGATCGCCATGGTCGTCTGGGGCAAGAAGAACCTCGGCGAGACCCCCGCCAGGATGGACAGGATCGCCAGGAGCAAAAGAAAGGTAAGATAGACCCCGTACTCGACATCTTTATTCCAGTACAAAATATATATATATATATATATATATATATATATATATATATATATATATATATATATATATATATATATATATATATATATATATATATATATATATACAGCGGTTCTCGTTCTCTGTCGTTTTGTTTCCACTTTCTCCTTTATCAAATCTTACCCGAAGACTATTTTTCCGTTCAGTCCCCCACGAGTGATTCCGTGAATTCTATTTTGGTTTTCATAAATCGATTATTGCAGAAACTGTTGCTGTGGAAACTGGCTCATTCCAGCCGTTATATTGCTCTTGACGACCTCAACAACTCCTAACTCTCCGCCGGCCTTGTTCCAGTCGTTAGTTATTAACTACGATTTTTTGTATCTGCATCTCGTTTCATGTCAAAATGTTTCATATTAAGTGTTCTACGCTGTTGATAATGCTCGCTGGACTGTCTTTACTCATCATTATCATTGCTACTGTTATCGAATATTTAATAAAAAGACATAAATATTGAAAATTGTTAGTAGTCCTGCCAATTAATTTAGCATGAGAACACGGAGAGATTGTGCTTGTTGATAATTGCGTTCAATTATTTATTTTCAGTTCACACAGCGATCCCGAGTGGAACAATAATTGGTCTCGGTAATAAAAATAATCTCAATTCGTCCAATAAACTCTATAATGCCCTGTGGAAAACAGCTCAGGTTAGAATTATATAACTGCAAAAGTGAATACAAAATATAACATAATATCATGTCATATAACATTACCAATAAACAGAACAAATTAATAGCAGAACGCTGAAGAGTTCCTGTAACGACGGAACTGTAATTAATCACAGGAGGGTAATAATAATACTACTCTACCACTGTACCATCACGACTTGTAAAAAAAAAAGTTATACAACCGGTTTTCTACTGAAAGCACAAGCAATCAGGAGGCGCCTCTTGAAGCCAGTCCAAACTATTACGTATGACCTCCAAGCACTCGGGGAGGGAGGGGGGGGGGGAAGGCCCGGTTATATATATTGAGATTTTCTGTGAACAATAATATTAAAAAAAATAGTAATACAAATAATAATAAATTGTACGCACAAATGCTTATATTGCATTTCAGCTTTCCTGTTACCTCTTCGAAGCGTAATTTGTTCCACCTGACTGTTATTTCTAAGAGGATCTGACTTGCCGCTGGGACTGAGTCATGTAAAACTGCATTTCCAAGTATTATAGTATATGTTCGTGAACTAATATTTATCTGCCAACCTTAGAATGCATCTACGTTGCTGTCCTGTCTGTCTACTGGCGAGCGATAACTATCACAGGCTCTATGTGCATCCACGGTACCCTAACAGACGTCACTTTTACAGACGTCGCTCTTCCAGACGTCACTATTCCAGATGTGACTCTTCCAGACGTGTCTCTTCCAGACGTGTCTCTTCCAGACGTGTCTCTTCCAGACGTGTCTCTTCCAGATGTGACTCTTCCAGACGTATCTCTTCCAGACGCGACTCTTACAGACGTGTCTCTTCCAGACATCACTCTTCCAGACGTCACTCTTCTAGACGCGTCTCTTCCAGACGTCACTCTTCCAGACGTCACTCTTCCAGACGTCACTCTTCCAGACGTGTCTCTTCCAGATGTGACTCTTCCAGACGTCACTCTTCCAGACGTGTCTCTTCCAGACGTGTCTCTTCCAGACGTGACTCTTACAGACGTGTCTCTTCCAGACGTCACTCTTCCAGACGTCACTCTTCCAGACGTCACTCTTCCAGACGCGTCTCTTCCAGACGTCACTCTTCCAGACGTCACTTCCAGACGAGACTCTTCCAGGCGTGTTATTTTTAAACTTGACCTATAATGTCGTAACTCCAAGTACCACTTGGAGGGACGAAATACTACAGGTACTACATAACTAAGACCCAATTAAGGAGTAGAATGCCTATATTCATACGAAATATCGTAACGAATCCTACGAATCCTTACGTTAACTCAGGGACCTCATAATATTTCTGTTTCTTCGGCTTTTCAGGGACTAACTTCCTGACTTTCAGTAAACTTCTTGTGACTTTGTGTTATCTTTAAGTTCTCTCGTGATTTCTTATGATTTATGACTAGATGATGACTTTCCGTGACCTCTCGGTGACCTCTGATGACCCCTCCGTGACCTCTGATGACCCCTCGGTGACCTCTGATGACCCCTCGTGACCTCTGATGACCCATCCGTGACCTCTGATGACCCCTCGGTGACCTCTGATGACCCCTCCGTGACCTCTGATGACCCCTACGTGACCTCTGATGACCCCTCGGTGACCTCTGATGACCCCTTCGTGACCTCTGATGACCCCTTCGTGACCTCTGATAACCCCTCGTGATCTTCTGTGATCCCGCGTGACCTCCAGCCTTCTGACGGAGGTTTAATAACCAAACAAACATCGTTATCCCTCTCTGATTACTCGGTTCCTTGCCATACACGGCTCAAACAAGATGAGTTGCTATCACCTAGATTTAATTGTCTGATTTAAGATTCTCAAGAATTAACAATTATTCTTGAATTCTCTCTCTTCTTCTCATTTTATCTCTGTCTCTCTCTCATTCATTCACTCATTCACTCACTTACTCACTCACTCACACTCTTTCCCCCCCCTCTCTCTCTCTCTCTCTCTCTCTATCTTTTTCTTTCACAGTACATATCTGTGCTCTGTTCTGATAGCGACTATTGGAAATCATTAGGTCAATTGTAGTGTCACACTGGACAAATAAGTGTATGTGTTTGTACTAACAGAGTTGTGATCACGGAGTTTAAACTCCAGTTTATGGATCCTGTCCGACAATATAGAGTCGATTAGTGTGGATGCCAAACCTTTTGAGTCATTTTTATATAGGAGTCAGTGTATAGAAGCGTCCTCCACTATTTCACTTTCCTATTTATAATACTTCTTCACTATTCTTACACTGAAGCAGCCCAGTGAAATACCGTTGCGGTTCATTGGGCTGCCTCTGTCTAGTTTCCGCATGTGTCCCCTTGTTCATGTTCCCCCTCGTGTGAAATTCTCGTGCTTGCGTTGTCGGTTTTCATGAGTATCTTGTAGGTCGTGCTCATGTCTGTCTGGCCTGTCGCGTCTTTCAATTTATGTTGGTTGGTCAACATTCTGATGCCGAGTCCCCACCGACGCATGGAGTAGTATAGTTCCCTGTGTTGAAGTGTGCTGCGATGATCCCTGTATTCCAAGTCTATCTTGCCGCGTTTGAAGTGCCTGAGATTAACAGTCTTGTTCCATATCTAAATTTGAACAAAAGTGCTCTTTGTAATTATAGTTTAAGTTACTCATGATGTTTCTATCGTACTCCTGCACCACGGGCCTTTGATCTTCGTGTTTACTGGTTATATAATGCTTCCACTATTATTTTGAGGCTTTTAATTAATACGGTGTTGGCTATGTATAGTCTCTAAGTCCTTCACAATATGATAACATCTTCTTGAACCCAGTCTTGCCGCATTAATTTAGCCTCTTAGCTTTCTCCGTCCCTTCTCTTAAGTTATGTGGTAGTCATTGAGGAATGTTCCTCTTGTTATATGTGCAGACAGACCCTTTCTGCCTGGGCAAATACATTTGGAATCCCGTCTTGTATTCGTTCCCCGAGATCATCTGCCCTTGTGATCCCTTGCACATTTATAAATAAATGAATAGCGTTATTCCGTGTTTTTGTCTCAAGCCTTCTCATCATCTGTCCTTAAAGTGAGGAGGCACTCGAGTTAGGGAGTGTGAGTATAGACTAATTTAGGTAACTTGGAGAGAGATGAACTGGAGTGGAGGTTAGTTGGGAGGCCCATGTAGGATAAATGTATGAATGGGGTTGTGGGGAGCATGTGAGAAGAAGGAATTGGGTTTTTGTTATGGGGTTTCTTACCAAAAATAACAAATGGTATGATTGTTAAAGGTTGACAGAGTGCATGAAGGGCTTGTAATCATCAGAGGCAAGAGCGGGGGATGGAGGAGAGACGGACTGTGAGATATATAGGACTTTGGTGTGTGTTTCGGGGGACTTGCTGCCTGGGTAACAGCTTCTCCCCCGAATTAACCTACCCTGACTTTGCGTCCTGGTGAAGCCACTCCAGACCAGGCCGACACCAGAGCGCAACTCCAAAGTCTCCTGAGACTGAAGGATGCCTACTACTACTACTACTATACTAATACATTTGTCTGACTGGAAGTAGATATATTGATAGGGTTGGACCTTGCTGATCCTTGTGCTGCTATGTTGACCTCTGCAGCTGCAACTCTCCGTTCACTTGTAATATCCTTCTGCAGCAATATTTATTTATTTATTTATTTATTTATTTATTTATTTATTTATTTATTTATTTATTTATTTATTTATTTATATATTTATTTATTTATTTATTTATATACAAGAAGGTACATTGAGGGCTAAGAGAGAACATAGAAATGAATTTGATTTCACATTCTTGTAAAGCCACTAGCACACATAGCGTTTCGGCCAAAATACTACTTTGCAGTTGGCAAAGATTCTTTGAGGGTTCTTATATCACATGATGTTCTGATTTGTTGCATTGTTTCACACCACAAATTTTACGAGTTGACTTTTTACAGACTAACACGAAAGCTGACATGTTTTTGTCGACCTGTTGTATGTATGTAAATATCAGTCAGGATCCTCGTTACGAGGGGCTCACATACTGGCTTTACGTTCCGTTTTGTTAGAATATTCCATTGTTTTCAGTCATAACGACATGATTGTCCTGTTCACTTTTTTTTCTAAAGAGGACAGGAGCTTCATTCACAGTGGCTGTATGCTTCATCACTTTATGCAAATATTGTTTATATTTCCTGTGTGCTCTTATTTCTGAAACTATTATTTGTCTAATAAATCGAATTCCAACGTTTCTCCTTTTCTGATACAAGAATGTACTTTCATTTTTTACTGAGGAATAATTTTCATTAGCATCAGTTCCAATCCTCATAGCTTTGCTTT